TCGAATACAGCATTTTCAAAACAATAAAAACAATAAAAGGTGATATAAATATGTAAAATCTAAATATGTGTTTGCAACTGATATCAAATAGATTTAAAGTACGCCTTCTTGAACATTGTGCCCTTTAAACAATATAGGTTTTATGTCTCTGAAACCTCAGTACAAATTCAAAGATTCAAAGCACAACAACTCTTTAGTCCAATTACCAAAGGGCCACAGCACCTCTGTCTGATAGCGTTAGGCCAGAGAGGAGTGAGTAATAGAATTTGCTGTGAGGGAAGCGCAGGCTCATTTCATTAAAGAGATGGTTGTTTCATGATGTACACACCACCTGACCAAAGACACTCTCACACTACACTTAACTATCAGAGGAATAAATCAGTCAATACATTCACTACCATTGATTTATAACATGCATTGGACATTAGGGCTTTTTTATCTTGTTGATCAATCACTTTTTTTTTCAATATTATTTGGCTTCGCTTTCAGTATAACTTTATTGAACATAAACAATATTTTTTGGTATATTTTACTCAATTATTTTGTTACAGCTACAGTTTTGTTGCTTGTTTAGAGGAAGGAAACTCGTTTATGTGACACATTTAACATTTTCACTGTTTTGATAATTAAAATGTGTGTTTCATATTCACTTTGCACAAGAAGTGGTTTAACAAAGACTTTTAGTATCACAACCATGATTTAGCCTTTATTTTCCACTGAACCGTATCGAATTGATTTGAAATATATTGTATCGAATCGAAAGTGCACTGTTTGGAGATATGTATCGTATCCTGGCCCATTTATCGAGGTGTGTATCGTATAGGCAACTTCTTAATGATACCCAGCCCTGCTGGATTGTCTGTGGACCATATATATCTTATTATTGACGATTAGAAATTACTGATTCTTGAATTGCACAGACTACATGGTATTATAGTTAAAATTGGTTATGTTCTAGAGAAGATTTCAGTTTGTTAGAGGTAAAATAATCCGTGTATCATTTGTTCATTTGTTTTTCAATATAAAACCAAAAATAAGAAAATGAAAAAACAACTATTCTCTTCATTCTTTGTCTCCAAAACCAAAATGAAAAACCAGATAACGGCTGTTTCCTGTTTCTGTGACTTAAACTGCGATGCCGGACTAAACCAGGACTAAACCAGGACTAAACCTGTCTCACTCTCGGTTCTGGTCCCGGTCTCGGTCCCAGTCTCGGTCCTGATCTCAGTCCCGGTCCTGGTCCTGTCTCAGTCCTGGTCTCAGTCCTGATCACCCAACAGTCTACTTGGGTGCACCTCTGGGCCTGTCCCGACACTCAGTACTGGTTCAGTCCTGGTTTAGTCCTGATTCAATCCAGCATCGCAGTTTAAGTCAAGTTTTTGCCATTATTAATTTAAACACAAAATTGACAACTGAAAAAAACTAATCGTTATCCGCTTTTTCATTTTGGTTTTTGAGACAAATAATGAAGAAAATACTTGTTTTTTCATTTCCTTATTTTTGGTTTTATATTGAAAATCGAATGAACGAATAACACACGGATTTAAAATTTGTCTAGTCATTCCATGTTTCTGACCAGTTTTGGGAAGAGTAAGAAGTACTGGTAACCATTTTGTCTAGCAGTTTTAAAATGCAAAATGGGGGTTAGTGGTATAATTTAAAATGGAAAAATATGTTTTATTGTTTGGATGAAAGTTTAGACAATTATGGTAACCAGGCAACTACATTAAATACAAATTAAAGAAACACCAATTAAACAATTACGCTGATTCTTACACCTTTACAACAAGCTCTGAATGTGTCTTGATCTGCAATTTTTGAGTAAACTACTACTTTCATTCAAGTTACATTTAGTAGTTTAATCCTTTACATAATTTATAATACCTTAGTTGACATTGTTTACAATAACTTTCATCCATTACTCTTGTCTAGTGTAAGCATGAACTACTTTACTGTAAACAATACAGGCCTAGCAATGCACTATCACAATAAGTACAGAGAATTATGTAAATAAATACTTAATACGCCACGTCTCCTGGTCTGGTGCATTTCCTGATTGTCTAATTGTAAAGTGCAGGAGGTGTCGTCCTGTATTAACAGCCCTCCTTTGTGAGAGGAGCATCTTGACCCCAGTAAAGAGCCGGACGGGGGCAGATGGTCCCCACAGTCGCACGCACAAACAGGGTGTCCATGGAAACGGAGTCGTAATGGCCGCCCTGGTGAGCTGCGGAATCACTCAAGCTAATTTGTTAAGTAGCGCCTCGGTATATTCACTTTAATCAGTCTATTTACTGAACAAGACAAGAGGTACAAAAACATGGCACCCAATGGGAACCACACAGATGGCATGTAATACATTATCTCAATTAGGCCCAAGTTTAAACCTGGTTCAAAACAGTCAAATAGTCAAAATAAAAGAACAAGATTAGGTGAAAACTGTATTTATTAGGGATGTAACGATATCCAAATCACACAGTATGATATTATCACGATATTCATTTCACGATATTTATTGTGATATCTTGGAGTGGTTAACATGATTGTAGACAGGATAATTTGCATTTCAAATACCTTGACAAGACTTTAATCAGAGAGAATCATTACTGTCATAATCCCAAGAATTAAAGTAAAAAACGTTTCTTCATGTTGTCTGCGCTGAAATGAAGGCAAGGCAAGGCAAGTTTATTTGTATAGCACAATTCGTACACAAAGTAATTCAAAGTGCTTTACAGAATAAGAAATACATTAAAATCATAATAAAAACAAATCAAAACATAAATAATCATGAAGATTAAAATTAAAAAAGAGAGACATAAATTGGAGAGAAGAGTGCGGAATGAAAACCTTTCAGTCATATGCACAGTTAAACAGAAATGTTTTGAGCCTGGATTTAAACAGCGTCACAGAAGAGGCCTGTCTCACATGTTCAGGAAGACTGTTCCAGGTTTTAGCTGCATGAACCTGAAACGCTGACTCCCCTTGTTTAGTTCTGACTCTGGGCACCAGCAGGAGGCCGGTCCCTGAGCTCCTCAGAGTGCGAGATGGTTCATATGACACTAACATGTCACAGATGTACTTTGGTGCTCGGCCATGGAGAGACTTGTACACAAGCAGAGCTGCTTTAAAGTCTCTGAGGCACAGGAAGCCAGTGCAGAGACCTGAGCACAGGACTTATGTGCTCGTACTTCCTAGTTCGAGTAAGGACCCGAGCTGCAGCGTTCTGGATGTTCTGCAGCTGTCTCACAGCTCGTTTAGAGAGACCAGTGAGCAGACCATTACAGTAGTCTAACCTACTGGAGACAAATGCATGGATAAGTTTCTCCAAGTCTGATTTAGACAGTAAACCTTTGATTTTTGCTATGTTTTTTAGATGGTAAAAGGCTGCAGATGTTATTGATTTTATGTGACTGTTAAAGTTCAAGTCTGAGTCCATTATTACCCCTAGATTTCTTGCCTGATTTGAAGGTTTTAGAGAGAGAGACTGGAGGTGACTGCTGACACTGTCCCTTTGTTTCTGTGGACCAAACACTATGACTTCATGAAATGAACCATGGTATACGTAGTTTTTAACTGTTGCTACTATAAAATCATGCTTTTAACCAAAGGAACTTGTAATTTGATATATTTGTGACAGCTCTCGTTATTATTGTGAAAGTTCTGCTCTAGGATTTATGAACACTATCAGTTCCAAACCTCTGCAGGATACTATTAAAATAACCTAATATCTCCATGGAGACAAGCAGGTGATACTGTTAGGCCAAGTTATAGGTCAGATCCATGGAGAAGGCAGTCTGCTCATAGTATGAATGCGTGTTTTTCAAGGCCTTTCTCTGCAGCAACAACGAGTAGATGCGACACAGTTACTTTTAATGTGATACTGTGGAATAATCCAGGTATTAACATCTCCATGGAGACAAGAAGGTGACTCATGAAAAATTGCATAGGGCACGTTTAATGCTTGGAGGCAGCATAAGTTGAAAATCTTGGTTGAAAGATATGGTTTGCTCTAAATATGCAGTGGTAGACAAGAAAAGAAATACAAAAGTGTTGCAACGGTTGAAACCAGAGGTGGGGACTTGCAAGTTGTGATTTTGACTTGAGTCAGACTTGAGTCACTATTTTTAGGAGTTGAGACTTGACTTGATAAATTGGACTAAAACTTGGGACTTGACTTGGATTTGAAGGTCAGTGACTTGGGACTTGACTTGGACTTGAGGCCTGTGACTTAAGAAGAGTTGAGAAGCACTTTTAAATCTGAATTCTTTCTATTCTGATTAATGATTCACTCTAAGTTCTTGTCAAGACATTTAAAAAGGAAAAAAATTGCATTTCTACAACTCTTATATACTCTATAAATACTCGTATATAAATATACCATGACTTTTTAGGTATAATTTTGTTTAAGATTCATATAAATTGCAAAAATCTAATGATATATTTGGTACTTTGGTTTAAGGACTTGAAATGACTTGAAGCTCAAAGCAGAGACTTGGACTTGACTTGGACTTATGAGTCATTGACTTGAGACTCGACTTGGATTTGCTTGTATTTGACTTGGGACTTGACTCAGACTTGAGGGCAAAGACTTGAGACTTCCTTGACTTGCAAAATGACGACTTGATCCCACTGCTGGATGAGACTCACAACATGCAACTAAATGGCCGTAGGTTCAAATCCAGAATCAGTCGGGGGATTACTGTATGGGTTTTGCATGTTATATCTGCGTAAGTGTCCTATGGGTGGTCCTGTTTCCCCTTCTATATTAACGTTGAACATGTATCACTAATGTAAAAAACAGATATTTCAAATTCCATACACAGTAATTCAAATTGATTGTTTCTTGAAAAAGCCCGTATAAGCCTGATGAATGTGAACAGATCACATAAAACTGACCAATATCACTTAAGGCCATATTTTTATAGCCCTCATATGTTTAAATAATCAATACTCATCATATACATTACTTTAAAGAGGTAATAATGTCCGTGGGGGGAGTGAGTTCATATTTTGAGGAAGAATCGTTTGCGGTAGAGGAGGTAGGAGATGAGAACCCACAGAGCAGTGGCCCAAATGTTCATGAAGAGCAGCTCCCAGTGACTGTCCCAGACACGCATGTCCCAGCTGAACGGGAAGTAGAACCCCAGCAGAGAGTGGCCCACGTACACCAGGATGGAGTTTGTACCTTCAGAAAAACATGGATCAATTATACTGTATGTGCAAACCTAAAATATAAATACAAATGAATGTGTGTGTGAATTGGTGAGAGGGCGTAATGATTTCTTAAGTGCCTCTTGGAAATATAAAAAGTCTACCGTATTTTTGGGACTATAAGTTGAACCTTTTTTCATGGTTTGGGTGGTCCTGCGACTTACACTCCAGAGTGACTTATATATTAAAATTTTCACAGTGACAGCCGACGGAGGACGCGCTAGGCTTGTGTGCCAGAATCTACAAATCCTATTACTCCTGTACCGTTACTTCGCACTCTACTGAGCATGTCTCCTGGAGAAAGAAATGCTGAAAGAAAGAGAGAAGAGAGAAGAGAAAGAAAGTTTGGAGTGAGCGAGAAACTTATGACAACCGGACGGGTGTGCCATGCAACTTGCTTGCAAGTCACTGGCTCAACAAAACATGCACTTCAGTGACACTGAAACCATCCTGTCGAGATTCAGAAAGGCCGGAATAATTCTAACCAGAACTGATGCTGAGTCTGACGACAGCTACACAGAAGAGGAAGCGGTGCTCTGTTTACCTCCGGAGGTCGCGGAGTTGCTCAGAAGTGATACCAAGGATGAAGAATTCAATGGATTTAATGGAGTGAGATCAAGAGTTTGGTAAACTGTTGTTTATGCTATAGTTATCTGAATAACTGTTCAAATGTTACGTTAACAGCCTGTTGTTCTCTGTTCTATTGTTATTACTAGAACTTGCCTTTCAAATGTTGGTTCCTGGTCTCTGATTTTATAAAATAGAGTTCCCCCCAAAAATGCGACTTACAGTACGTCACGATTAATATATGTGCTCTTTTCCTCTTCATTACAAATTTTTTGGCTGGTGCGACTTATAGTCTAGAGTGACTTATAGTCCAAAAAATATGGTATATAGATGTGTAATTGTTTATTATAAGGACAAGGCAGCAAATGGGGGGGCCAAAGCAGTCTGTTGTTCTGGGCCCCAGGTTCTTAGAGGCCCAGAATTGGACCCAAATCCTGTTAATTATTATTAGAGGGGGGCTCATGTGAGGCTTCATCCCCCAGGCCCCCGAATTTTTGTCAGTGGACCTGCATAAGGATAGTAACTTTCCCCAATAATATAATATTTTCTCCCCTTGTCCACACACTGATGTATCTGAAAATAAAACACTAAAGATGGTATCACAAAGTTGTGTAATTGTTTTTATTATGTCATTCTGAAATACTGTAAGTCACTGTATTTATTTGGTGAGCTTCACTGTATTGAAGGCAATCAAAAGTCCTCAGTTGTTATGTCACATTTCCATTTTACAGTCACACTCCCGTTTCACTTCTGTTGATCCGTTGTTGTTTACTTTTATGCACACTCTGAACATAAAGGCTTTTGTAGCTCTGACAGCTGTAGTCGTTAAATGAAGTGCAGTTGTACTGGAGTCTATAGACCACAGCAGAAGGGAGGGCCTACAATATGTCAGGCACACTTCACCCAAAACCACACAAACGTGATGAAAAAACCATTGTTACGGAGTTTTAGCATTTTTAATTATACTTAAAAGTAAACAGCTGCCTTTGTTTGGTCAAACTAAATGAAAGCTTCATTCTCCAGAGGCACACTGGATTTTAAACAGTTTGAGGTTAACTTGTTGTATGGAACTTTCTACTTTATACTGAAGTTAATTTTCAGCATACAAAGCTTTTTCACAGACACAAGAGATTGAATGTAGGGTTAAAAAAAAGAAATTTCTTACTACATATTTTTCACCTACAATATGTACCAACAACTATGTAGAAAATATGGCTAAGTTAATAATGGTTGATTGATTTGATAATTATTATAAATGCCAAATAATAGACAAGAGCATACATGACACTGGGTCTAAGAAAAAGGGTGTCTTACCTAAATTAAACATAAAAAGCTGATTTTAACATAATTTAATGATACTTACAGATTTAGTTCACATGGCTTTATTAACCTAGCCTGATTCATCGGCCAGTTTCACTTCGTGGAAACCATCTGACCTCGCAGCATTAGGATTCGTTCACTCGACAGTATGCGGGTACTTTTTTATTTAACCAATCGCTGCTATTTGGTCGTGACGTATGTAATGTGCCGCTAACGGGTCTAACTAGTATATTAAGATTTTCTCAAATCCCAGAGGAAGAAGGGCAATAACGTCTTTCATCTTGATAAAATTCACCAAACATTCTCTTTGTTCCGGCTTTAAATCCTTGATCTCGGGAATTGTTGCCAATACATAATGTATGGCTCTTTGCTGATTGGCCGGTGCCCAAACTCACACTTCTGGGGTTCTTACAAAACATCTAGTGTGTCGGATTCCTGACCTAGTCGCTCGAGAGAAATGAAATTGCATGGAGGCACTAGTATTAACCATGACAGTATTCAACCTAAGTTAGGCATACATTTTTGTGCTATTAAAAGGCCGATATTACACTCTTTTCTGATCTATGTTGTAATGTTGTTTCTTCTCTGACACAGAAAACGCTCTATTCCACCTTATGATGTCATGTGGTAATAGAGGAAGTGCTCCACTGTGTTTTTTAAACTTCTAAATAAATAACTAAATAATTTCAGTCCTGGAATTGCCAATTTCTACTGAACAAAATGTAAACGGTAGCTGTTAACTTGAAAACTGCCGCTTCATGATATCACAAGTTGGAACAGAGCCTAATAATAAAGGTTACTCAAGCGTGTGTGAATGGAACACACAACTCCAGGTATGTTTTCATGAAGTAACGACATTATAGCATGTCTTGAAGTTCACAAGAGTCAATTTTGCATAATATAGTTTTAATGTGATGCACTTAATTGGAATTGAATTGGAACAAATACAGTGGTGCAGTCTCCTCTTCTCCTTGGTTGCGGTGTTTTTAGAGTGAAACATTAGCCCAGTGCCCAGAGCAGCCTCAGGTAAAGAGTGATATTGTAACCTTCACTAAGTCCTCCACATCAGCAAAATGCATTAAAGCTTTTAAACAAAGCTGAACAAACTGTACCTGGGTATATGAATGGCCGTCCTCTCCACCAGCCTCTCACATCGATGACTAAATACATGGCTCCCAGCAGCACAAAGGAGAAGCAGCCCAAACAGGTCACAAAGGACAAAGACCTGAGAGCAAAAGAAAAACATAGGATTTGGTCATGTATATTTATTGTTATAGGTATAGTTATTGTACTGAATTTTCTGTAAAAAGTTGTAAAAATGGCTACAGTCTCCAGAAAGTTACATAAAGTACCTTTAATCTGAATATATGTCTAGAGTTGACAGCACTTACAACAATAAGACCATCCGATCAGATAAGCATGTTACCATTGCAATATGTAACTTTTATGATGCAAGATCCAGTCCCTACTTGTCTCCATGGAGATGCTAATACTTTGTCAGGAAAGTTCCACAGTTCCAAATATAGAAACTGAAGCTTGATGTACCACAATTGATTATACCACAATTGTTTTTCCTTATTTAAGACAAAAATGTGTTTAGTCAGTAACACATGCTTGGGGTAAACTCAGATCAGATCTATCGTTGATTGAGTCTCTGCTGGCATCATCCACTTGTTTACTGCTTTCTGTTGTCCACGTGCAATGGAAATTATTGACTGTTGGTTTGTGTATCACATCACACTTTACACGGCAACGTTAAAGTCAAGAGATACTATCGTATTAGGCAAAATGTGCATGCTTTGAACTGCACACTTAATAATATTAGTCATTGTTTAATTTGTGTAGAATATAGATAATACAAAATTACTGACTTAACCCTAAATGGCATTTCAGCTGCAACATGGCTTATCTACCTGGTCCTGCAGGCTTTTTAAAGAAGACTGTCAGCTATATAGTTATAATCTACAACGCTCGTGGATCATGATGTTATAATTCGGCCATTTTGAAATGCAAAACTAATCTAAAACTTAATAAAAGAAATAACTTCATTGACTTGCGCGCTAGAAAACTGGGGTGCCCAATGGGAGCTGAAGTCACCATAAACATTATTAGAATAAACAGTGGTGAAGTTGACAGAACCTCCGGCTGATTGATTTTTTTCATTTTTACCAAAATGACTATGCAGTGCTGCTGAATCCGACAAATATTACAGATTAAGAAAATAAAATTGTTATAATGTTGTTTCCTCATCACAAACATGGTTGGGTTTTTTTTCATTCACAAATCCTGTATATTTAGGCTGAGTTCTTCTCAAACAGAAAACCCTCTGTTCCATCTTGTGATAATGGTAATACATTTTTAAACTCCTTACACTTTCAATAGAATCATCTGGACAATTTCAGCCCTGAAAATGAAAAGCTCTACTGAACTAAAAGTAACAGGTAGCTGTGAAAACTGAACTACTAAATTACATCACAAGGTGGAACAAGTATTTTGAGCTTTCGAGATGCAGTCTAAAAATAATGTAGGATTACTCAAACATGTGAATGAAGCAAAACACAACTCCAGATCTGTTTTTGAGGGGGTGAAGAATGTATTCATTATTTGGTAACACTTTATTTTAGGGTGCACTTATTAACATATAACTACCTGCTAATTAACATTGTTGTAAATGGTTAATTTGTCATTAATTAGTATTTATTCAGCCCTTATTAATGTCTAATTCCCCATAAACTTATTCTGGTATTAGTTAGACATTTACAAACACTTTCCTGTTAATACACTCCTTATTACTGCTTATTAGTCTGATACTAGGCCATTTTTGTCCATGAATTATGATTCTAATAATCTTTTGGTAATAAGCGTGTTGTTAAGGATTAGTTGCACAGCTTAGCTTACTCTTATGTAATAAAACACCTCTATTAACTGTTAATAGCATCCAACTTGCCATGAATTAAGTAAACTCGATTTATTAAGTGCAAATAAGTACAAACTACATTTCTTGTGCAACTAGTCCTTAACAACACACTTATTACCAAAAGCTTATTAGAATCATAATTCATGGACATAAATTGCTTAGTATCATATTAATAAGCAGTATGAACAGGAAAGTGTTTGTAATTGTCAAACTAATAGTAGAATAAGCTTATGGGGATTTAGAAATTACTAAGGGCTGAATAAATATTAATTAATGACAAATTAACCATCTACAACAATGCTAATTAGCAGATGGTTAGATGTTAACAAGTGTACCCTAAAATAAAGTGTTACCCATTATTTATTCATTTTTATTTTATTTGCCATTCTGGATTTTGTCTCACCTACCCCAATAGCACGATTAGTTCGCAACCTGTTGTAAACCCCTGTCTCCGTGAATCTTTGGTGCAGATAAATAACGGAGTGAAACTTGACTCTACAGGACAGTTTTTTGGCAGAGCCGGGAGCCCACGCAGAGGAGGATCTTTGGCACAGGGCGAGTGGAGCTATGCCAGTCTGCCATGTTCCTGTCAGCTGTAACTGCTGTTATGTTTAATGAGATATTATCCAATGCACTTACTGTAAGATATTCACTAAAAAGTCTACTGGAACTGCGAAGGTTCCTACAGTCTGAGAACAAAAAGAAGACATATTGTGCTTTTGTCTGCTATATAGTTTTAATCTCTGACACACAAGGAGCATTACTTGATATATTGCACATTTTCGATTGCCATTTTTATCTGTAATAGCTTCATAAAAGTAGAAAATCATCTAAATTCAAAACTGCAATGCTGATTTAGTTCTGCCCCTTAACAAAGTGTCACCGCAAACGTCATCAAGTTGAATAACAAGAATGAAGATGAATCACTCTTATTACAACTTCAAGTGGGTGAATGAGAAGGGGAAACAATTACAAAAGCTCTTGAAAGACGATTTTGCGTATAATGTCTCCATTAGAATTGCTAAAATAGCTAGCTGTGATGTGACAACCACTTTCCCAGTCTTAATAATTGGTGACCTTATAGTAGGCCTATTTATTGACTGTGTAATTACATGAAAACTACCAATACATTACATCACAAGGTGGAGCATTTTGAGCTTTGGAGATGTAGACTAATAATGTAGGATTACTCAAGCATGTGTGAATGAAAAAAAACACAACTCCAGGTTTGTTTCTGAGGAGGTAAATCATTCGAACATGTCTTAAATTTGACAAAATATAAGACCTTTAATAATAAACCAACCACTTAGACACAACTGGATGAAGACAATGGTTATTATAATGCTGTACTGAGTGAATGGCAGCCTGTCTCTGTTCTCTAAAAGTGCCACTGTATTTGACATGATATAATCTAATGTAAGATGCTGCTGTACAGATGCTTTACTGTGTATGTGGCTGCACAGGGCCAAACAGGACTCTTGGCTTGAGAGTTAATTACTGCGAGACATCAGGAGGCAGCAGCTCGATAAACTATGCATGATGTAGTAGCTATAAAACCCAGGCAGGTAGAGTGTAATGGCAGAGGATGGGTCTGTGCTGGCCCCAGTGGAGCATCATGGGAGATTTGCTTACACATCACAGATGAAATGGTCGTCTTCCAGTAGAAACATTAAAATGATTCACTTCATATTAAGAGGCTCCAGGACCAGTGCGCAGGTTGTAAAGTCGTTTAAAGGAGTAACTAAGCTGTAATTCATGAAAAATGACTGGAAACATATGAAGGTATTTTAAAAGGTAGACAGTTATTATATATGTAGGCTAAAAAGCTTCATTTAAATGAAGAGGGCTGGTGCAAAAATGTAACATTTTTCACTTAAATGGACAATTTTTTGGATGTACCTCTTGAAATGTTTTTTAATCAGTTGGATGATTTCTGGCTTTTAACTCCCTGTTAACTTGAAAACTACAACTTCATGACATCACAAGGTGGAACATTTTGAGCTTTAGAGATGTAGGTAGACTAATAAAGAGTTACTCAAACACATGTGAATGAAACAAAACACAACTCCAAGTATGTTTTTAAGGAGGTAACAGCATTTTACCATGCCTTAAACCTCACAGTCAGTATTGTGTAATATAGGACCTTAAAAGCTCAAACAAGCCTCACTTGGCCTGGTTGTTTTCTGGCTGTGATGTTGAGCGATCATGTGGAGGATGTAGCGCTCACACCCCCTCTCAGAAGGTGATTATTTACGAGCGGAGCTGCTGTTGGAGGTAAGTAAACGCGTGTTTTAGCAGCTCTGATTTGTGCCTGCTGGAGGTCCATCCTTTTGTGAGAAAAAGTGGCTGGATTTAGAGGGTCAGGAAGCACTTACCAAAGGTTTTTATTGACAGGTATAAATCCCACGTCTCTCGTGCACTTAGTAAGGATGGCAGCGGAGATTCCCTGCGGGTGGAAATGAAACAGATTTTAAATCGATAGATGCGATAAAGCAGCTCGTATCAGGAGACTAAAAACACAGGAACAAAAAGACCAGGGAACATAGGAGTCACTGACACACCAAAGAGTCCATCACTCTGGTTTGAGCAGATTAGTCCTGATGTTCAGGTTTAGTTGTAGTATTAGTCTCAGGTTAGCCCCAATTTTGATGCAATGTTTGTGCAACTGTAAATATACCATAAATATCACAACAGAGTGATTTTAGAGTGTTTCAGAGTCACAGTACAAGAAGTAATTAAAGTTATTCACTTGTTGCTTTCACTTCAAAATTGGGAACTTATACATTGATTCTATATCACCATATCGCTCACCCCAAAGCATGCAGCTCAATCAAGATCTACAAACAATACAAGGGCCAAACTCACATCAAGAGGAAGGAGTATTTACAGGACCAGTGGAAAGCATTAAGCATCATCTAAGGAAATATTACATTACATATAGTGAGAAGTGCTTCTACATTAATAATAAGTTCAACTTGATAGAAGGCAGGCTACATTTAGATGGAGGTATGGCCCGTGCTTTTACACTTTCAAAAAGCAGTATCACACTCACAGATGAACCTGGGCTGCCTAAATCTGCGTACAGAGGACGTAACCATTTTTCTCATTCTCAGTGTATGGACAGGAAAGCTCAGAACCTCCAGAATTCAGTCACTGAGGTGCAAACGCTGCACTAGCACATCAATAATTAATGATAACGAACTGAAGTTCAGCCTTGAAACTTGGTAACCCAAATTATTGTTTGCTCATTCTGCTTTCAGACTGGATAAATGTCTTGAAAACCAAAACAACGAATTATAACAAACTGTATTACATGATTTTGAAAAATCTAAATGAGAAATCTTTTATTTTAACACCTCATATTTAATCTCATATTTGGAGACAAACAGAGGTTATGTTTGGGAAATAGAAATTCTGCATACCCTCTGTTTAAGGTGAGACATTACGTATGCACAATAAAGTTTGTATTTTAATAGTTTATAATTGTAAAGTGTATTTTTTCCTTGTGTCAATGAGCAAAGCAATTAAAGAGCAATTAAATCTTATATAGTTTTGAACATTAAAATAAAACATGGTGTCTTCCTTCAGAGAGTCCCATTTCAGAGCTGAGGGTCCACACAGGCTCGTTAGGGGGAGATCTATCACGAGTATAGATGACAGAATCAATGTAGTGGAAATGGCCGGGCAGGGGCAGGATCCAGTCTGCTCCAGGCTATCTGTGCTCTGGACGCTACGGGACGAGGGACTATGTGGGACAACCGCTCAATTTCAATCTCACTCGGACCGCCTGATCATTGGACTTTAATTAATATGGACTGTTGTTTGGAGGAATGATAGGCTACAGTTGTATATCAAGCTAACCATGCACTTTAGACAATGGAGAACTATGTAACAAAAACACATTTACAGGAGTTAAAATGACATGAATAAAAAAAATATATATATACTATATATAATTTTACTACTAATTCAGTGGTGTAGTAGCTAAGATCATTTAGATTGACAGTCTAGATTGACGGGCAAAACGTCTTGTGTCCTAAAATACAGTAAAACGCCTTCTCATAGTGAAAGGATCCTCGTCTCTGATGATCAGATCTGTAACTTGACCTAGTGGCATTAATAACTTGTCTCTAGAAAAAGCTATACTGTGGAACTTTCCATGCAAAGCAATAACATCTCCATGGCGATGAGACCTCCACCAGTAAAGTTGCATGCATCATAATTATGGCTTACATTACAAGCTTGACAATCCTTTCAAAAGGCCACTCATTCACTAAAGGCACACATGATCAGGGTAAACAACATGTGTAGCCACAGCTCCCCTGGGCTAAACTGACAAAACAGACACTGCCAATCTGCAGATATGAAGTGTCTTGCCCAAGGACACACCTTGTAGTTGATGGGAAAATGTTTTAACCACTGTCACTGTCATTGGTGCATCTTTCTTCACTGGGTTATTATTTAATGTTATGCTAAACTTTACTGCCCTCTGCATTTTGTTTGGAGACCAGATCCTCAGCTATAGATTCATAATCAGGAGGAGCTGGTGGATTAACCCTTGACTTTTAAGAAATATGAAGTATGACTTTTAAGAAACAAAATTACTTAAACCAACAGAAAAACCTTGAAATTAATCAAATACTAGATCTGGTACATATTAATCCAAATTAAAAGTTTTAAAAATAAATAAATACTTTTTTCTGTGTATGTTTTTTTTAACCAGTTCAGCACTTTGTAAAAGTCTCGTGTATGTAATAGCAATTTTGTGGTTCGCTGGTTGCAGAAATGAGCTCAGCTTACATTGAAAAGCAGCTAATGTTAAGAGCATATGGGCTGAAACTACACTCAGCCTGATCAGCTTCCACTTATTCTTCTGTGAAAAGGTCAATATAAGAAGCAGACACATCAGTATAGGAATAATAACACACCATGGGCTTGTCAAAAACACCTACAGACAGATATCACTTCATCCTAATAAAATAATATACATGGAAGGATAACAGATTGGACCCATGTTTCAAAATCTGCTGCTAAAATCAATATCACGCTTCAGTTTCCAACACAATGTAAAAATCTATAACACTGTGATTGTGCGTTTGTGACTTGGGGCTAGTTTCTCTTTGGGTACAGTACAGGAGACACTAGAGACTTGGGAATGCTAAAAATACTGTTTAAATAGCCTATATTGTGCTATTTTCTGACCTACATTATACTGTTATTTCCTCATCAAAAACATACCTGGTGTTGTGTTTTGTTTTTGTTCATTCACAAACCCTGGATAATTACTCTGAGTTCATCTCTCAAACTGAAAAAACTCTGTTCTACCTTATAATGTCATGTGCAGTAAATGGCCCATTGTGTTTTTAAACTTCATACACCTTCACTAGAATCATTTGGATCATTTCAACCCTGAAAAGTAAAAATAAATGATTACTCAAATACATGTGAATGAAAGAAAACATAGCTCCAAGTATGTTTTTGAGGAGGTAACGGCATTATAACATGGCTTAAAGCTCACAATAGTCAATTTGAATTAATTCATGTGTACAAAATAGACCACAATACGTTTTGAAAGAAATATTGTGTCATAGGCATTTCTAAATCACAAGGTACAGTATATTTTTGTACTGCTTGCGGGTTAGAATTGTAACTGATCCATTCATACTGTTGTTTCATCACTTCATTCACATGTTTACTCTATTGGTTGTGATAGGAAGAGCATCTGGCATAAAAACAATAACAACAACATTTTTTGATCGTACACATTTTTTGTTCTACCCACAACAACCTTAGACTGATTCATCAAGTGGGCAGGTGCTTTTTAATTTAACCAATCACTGCTATTTGGTCGTGACGTATGTAATGCGCCGCTACTGGGGCTAAATGGTATATTAAGCTTTTCCCAAACCTGTAGGAAGAAGGGCAATAATGTCTTTCCCCTTGATAAAATTCACCAAACATTCTCTTTGTTCTGGCTTTAAATCCTTGATCTCGGGAATCGTTGCCAACACAGAATGTATGGCTCTTCGCTGATTGGCTGGTGCCCGAACTCACACTTCCAGGGTTCTTGCAAACCAGCTAGTGTATTCGATTCCTGACCTAGTCACCAGAGAGAAATGAAATTGAGTGGAGGCACTAGATGGTGCCAGTCTGGCTACAGCAACCCAAGATGAAATCCAAATAAAGCCAGTGTGGTTTGTAAAAAATTGCACAGTGAGCCAAAATGTTAAAATGCAACAACAAACCTGCCTACTCATATAAAATGTACATTACTTACAGAGCTTTTGATATTATTCCTTTAAGACTAAGCGTGTGAACCATTGCACAGTTTATCCTCAAATTCGGGACATCTGAAACGTATTTATCAGATCCTGTCTTACTTTATCACTCTTTGCCTTTGGGAGGAACTAATGGGTCTAATTTATTTTACTTCCCACCAGACCCTCAAACAACAGCAGGGAGATTTGCCATTAAAAGCAAGATTACAACTTTTACAAATAAAAGTTGTATCTGTATTTTTCATTACCTTACAATATTATGCAGGCCTGACTATCGCTATGTGCAGTGGTGTAGTGGGGATTTTTGAAGTGGGGGTACACGATTCGTGACGTCATCGATAAAGGCGCCAGGCCACTAAAAATCTGTAATATTTGATGTTTTTTTACTAAAACTAATGCAACACATGTGCTCAGGACTTAAACAGGACTAAACCAGGACTAAAACAGGACTAAAACAGGACTAAAACAGGTCTAAACCAGGACTAAAACAGGACTAAAACAGGTCTAAACCTGGACTAAACCAGGACTGAACCAGGACTAAACCAGGACTGAACCAGGACTGAACCAGGACTAAACCAGGACTAAACCAGGACTAAACCAGGACTAATCTTGGCCTTGAGAGCGAGAGACAGAACCCTGAGCCGGCAGAGCATGATTGGGCGACCGTGATTTCGCCTGTGGTCACCTGACACTCAGGCCTAGTTCAGTTCTGGTTCAGTCCTGGTTATGACCTGGTTTGGTCCTGTTTTAGTCCTGGTTCGGTCCTGGTTCGGTCCTGGTCCCTTATGTCTCAGGTCACTACAGGACAGTACTGCAGATATCATGAGTACCTGTGCAGTTTGTTTTCACCATTGCCAATAGCTCCAGTTTGACACTGAATTTGTAGCTATTTTATATTTGTAATTTTTTAATATCTCAAAAAAGTGGGTGGATGATGATGAACCGCGCCACGCCCACTACACCCCTGGCTATGTGTATTGAAAAAATGCTGAAAAATATATGTAAAACAAGTAATTATTGACAAGTCCTGTAAAAAAAGCCCAGTGTCGGTTATCCTGGTCATTACATGGATACTATGTAAGAAAATCAATAGTTTAACTCAAATAATTGATCTGAAAATCATTGAACGTATTTCTATAATTAGAAACAGTATCCATAGCAACGTAGT